CAAACTTATATCCATTTTTAATTATTGCCAATGTTGGTTCAGTAGATACAGGTACAATCGATGATATCTAAGGTTTATCACTATTGGCAAAAAAGTATCAGTTATGGTTGCATGCTGATGGTGCATATGGTGCGTGTTTTGCTTTGGTTGAGACAGTCCCCAAATCTCTAAAGTCTCTCAATTTATGTGATTCAATCACTGCAGATTTGCACAAATCGTTTTTTCTACCGTACGGTACGGGATTTTTAGCAGTGAAACGAAAAGAAGATCTATCGAAAACATTTTGTAACGAATATGCTGCTTACTCCTGTCATATTGATGATTCAGATGTTAATTTTGCTGAATTGTCATTGGAACAAACGCGTGAAATGAGAGGATTGAGAGTTTGGTTACCCTTAAAATTACTTCGTTCGAACACATTTGCATCGTGTTTGAAAGAAAAATTAGATTTAATACAATATTTACATGGTGAACTAGAACAAATTCCAGGTATTGTTATCATTAGCAAACCTGTCTTGTCCATTCTTACATTCAGACATATTCCGATAATATTGAGACATTTATTTGAAAAAGAACAGCGAGTTATTCAGAATGCAAATGTTGAATCTCAATTATTAGCACATAATACACAGTTACTATCATCTATCAATAGTCGTGGTCGAGTTTTATTGCACTCAACAAAATTATATTTGAATCATGATGATCAAGAGGCAGTTATGGTTATTCGAATTATTGTACTCAGTTATTTGACTCATCGAACACAAGTGGATCAATGTATCAATGATATAAGAGCTAGTTGTATGGAAATGGACACACAGACGGCTTCACACATGTGATACTATTATTCTTTCGATAAAAGTAGTAGCCCTAGTGTATTTTTCAACATATTCTGCTTCAAGCTCGCTAGCGGCCAACAGTTAGGCACAAGAAATTAAACGGAAAACTAGAAAGACGGTAAAATTAGAATCAAAATAAAATAAAATGAAAGATAATATTACGATGCTTTTACTTACAAATTCATATGTTGATCAGTTTCAGATTTTAAGTTAATTTCCAATGTTTTATGTCTTTGTCATTGAATAATTTATAATAGTATACACTTATAGTTTTTGTTTTTTTAGACTACAAAAACATTTGTTATAGTTGAAAATAATAAATAACTAATACTCGAGAAAAAGACACAATCAAAGTATTGAATCATATTTACAATTCCAAAAGAAGTGTGTCACTTGTACAGATACATAAGTATACAAATCTACCTGTGAAGTGGTTCGACGTGTATGTAAAAAGCAAGAAGAAAGAAAAGCGTCTTGACTGAATTGTTATGTTCACATTCTTTATTTATTAGCATAAGTTATTGCTGAAGAAAAATTTAACATAAAACAAATAATTTTCTTTTTATTGGAGAAGTAATATCAATACTTAAATACAAATCTTTTATCTGACGTTTGTTAGAGCGTCAAATAATAAAACTTTGGACTATCTATGTACGAAAAACAACTGATAAA